TACTCTTTTACTAATATTATGAACTTTAAAAACTATTTGAGAATTTCATATAGGCATATAAGCATATAAGGTGTTTTGATCAAATCCCTCCCCTCCAACTCCTCCCATATCTCCCCATCACTTTTTTCTGATAACTTCATGTATTCTTTCTTCTCTTTTTTTTTTATGGGGCTTTTTGCTACTCTAACATTCCCCTCTCTGAAGAGGTAACCCTAAAATATTTTAAAGAATAGATAAGAGCTCCCAAATACTTTTGACATTTTTGGCCTTTGGAACAGAGTATGTTGCTAAGAGGCCCAAGCACATTTTGACTTTTAGCCAAGAAACTGACTACTTTTCTTTGGGGTCTTTTTACACTAACTGCCTAGCCAGTCAACCATTGGTTTGACACTAGAACCTTACAAGGGAAAAAACATTGATTAGTATTATGAACTTTTTTGACCTATTCTTCATAATAATCTGATAAGGCCTTTTTATGAATTCAGTCTACTTTTCAGGATTCCTAAAGAGAACTCATACCCTGTGAAGGTAAAGACCATTATAACTTCATGGGTATAACTTGAGCCCTCAACAGCCTTAGGCTGACTCATTCTCATTCTTTGATGCCTATTCAGAGCACTCCACTCCCCATCTCTCCCCAAGTCCACAGATTCTTACCCTAATCATCTGAAGAGTCACTGATCCCCCAACTAACTGAAGAAATATTTATCTAGTTCCTAGCCTCCAACTGCACTCAGTGCCTCTTTATGCATCAGAAGGCTTTCTGCCTTAGCGACCATTGTTTCCCGCTTCCCTATTACTAATAGGCTCTGTATTGTTGTTCTGATCTAGATCAATCTCTTTCTTTTAGAAATCCCATTCCCAGCCACTCCATTGGTCCTGGGGTCTTCAGGTTTGATATCACCTCTAATGTCTTCCTTCAGTATTTAAATAAACTCATGCCTGTAGTTTGGCCCATATGAATTTCCTTCAAGTCCCTTATCTTCACACAGCTTCTGCCTTCTTTTCTGCCCTAACTATACCTCGAAAGTTGTACACATTCACTGTATACACTTCTGTCCCACTCATAAAACCCTAGCACACTCATTTCACTCAAAATGATCTAGATAAGGTCTCTCCTCTCTCTCTCTCTCTCTCTCTCTCTCTCTCTCTCTCTCTCTCTCCTCTCCTCTCCTCTCCTCTCCTCTCCTCCTTGTTGCAAAATACAATACTTTCCAATCTTATCTTTAAAATATTTGTATTTTATGTGTATGAGTGTACTTTCTGTATGTGTGTAAGTGCATGTTGTACAATGCCCACAGATGTCAGAAGAGGGTGTCGGATCCTCTGGAACTGGAATTATGGATGGTTGTTAGCTGCCATGTGGGTACTGGGAACTGAACCAGGGTCCTCTGCTGAGCCATCACTCCAGGACTAATCTTACCTTGAGATTATTGATCATTTTATCTTTTAGAAACACTTTCCTCTGATACTGTTCTCCAAGTAACTGTTAGCATCTCTCCCCTTCCTCACCCTTAACAGATTTGCCTCCTGCTTTAGTAATATGGACCCCATCTACCTCGGTTAGGCACTGCCATTTTTTCATTCCTGTCCTCAGCTAAGCTGCTACAAGGAGCAGCATCAACCTTCCTCTCCTCTTCAAGTTATACCCTAGTCTTCACCAACTTGGTGCCTTGCAGCATAAGACCCTATCTACTATTTTTCTTCTTCAAATTCAAAACCTTTATTGTGTTGACTTTCAAAATGAACCTACTTGGTGCTGCTCATTTTTCTCTGTTCTTTTTCTTTATCCTCTTCCTCTCTCTCTCCCTCCCTTTTTCCCCCTCCCTCCCTCCCTCCCTCCCTTACTCACTCTCTTCTCCCCTATTTTTTCACCCTCCATTACTTTATCAGCAGTTCCCAGTACTAAGGGCAGTAGTAGCTATAAGTTGAATTAAATAAAATAATAGAGCCAGTTGGCTCCTCAGAGAATATTGTCAAGTTCTTGATTTTTTTTAAAGAGAGTCCAGAATTTTATGTATTCTGATTTTTAAGTTTGGCAACTAGTGTGAATATATATATGTATATATATATACACATATATATATATATATATACATATATATATTCACCATGCAGGCCATCAATTTGCACCGTGTGTTCTAGGCCACTTGCATAGCAGTGAAAATAACTGCTGTGTGCATCATGCATCATGGTATTTATAAGTCCTATTCCTATCAGCTCATCAAGTGCCTGGCATAGTTGTCCTGTGTATGAAGAAACATTAATCAACTGCATGAATGTCTTCTTTTATAGTTAAATTTATTCATTGTTATTCAATCTAGTAATTGGCCGAATATTTGGGTTTTATTCTTAGTTTCTGTTAAAGGTCTGCTACTGGTATTTCCCAGCTGTTGTTACTATTGGTAGTATTTTGCTTTCAAGTTTCTTTCCCAATATTTTATATGTACCCTGCTTTTAGTAAAAGAGGGTAGAAAATATAGACTGAAACCTCCCAGACAATAAGAATAACATGTTCAAAGTCAGACCAATGTGAAAAGGTAAGTCTTTGGAGACATGAAGAATTCAGCATGACAGAGATCAGGGTGAGCATCAAAGAGGAGCAGAAGAATGAAGTGAGGGTGTGGTGTCAGACTGCAGGGCAGCCTTCTGTGTCATACTACAGTATTTGAAATTCATTCTATAAGGAAGACTCAAATAATGGTTTAAGCAAGGGAATGGTGTAACCTGATGTTTTTATTACAGTGGTGATTACCTAAGCCAACTCAATTGTCTTGGGTGAGACTTGCCTAAAAGCTCCTTATGAGGGAAGAAGGGGCCATTTTTCTTTGCAAACCGAAACTAATGGATTTAGGAATAAAATTGCAAATTATAAAGTGAATGTGTTTTCTGTATATGCAGTAAAAATACTTTGACATGTGATATGCTAGGCATTTATCACAAAGAGAAACACTGTAATACATGAAACTCCTTGACACAGCCAACTCCTGCTTGGCTCTTCGGCATCTTCCTCGTATGTTTTGTGTGTTTCATTAATTCATTAAACTAACAAAACACTGTGTTGGACACCGCTTTAAGTATTAGGATTCAACCACCACAACCACCAAAAGAATCCTGCCTTCTGGGGGCTTTTTTTTTTTTAATTTTATGTGTATGAGTGTATTACCTCCATGTATGTAAGTGCACACGTATCATGCAATGCCTGCAAGAGGCCAGAGGACAGCATCAGATCCCGTGTAACTGTTCTTACAGACAGTTGTTGGCTGCCATGTGGCTGCTTGGAATCAAACTGGTCCTCTGAGAGAGCAGCCAGTGCTCTGTAACCGCTGAGCCATCTCACCATCCCTGGAAGCTTACATTTCCGTGAGAATGTAAAAACCTTAGAGGTAAATTGAAACAAATAAATGAAGCAGATTAAGAAAAGCTGGGAGTGACTATTCACTCGCGGAATTAACAGAAGCTAACAATTCATTAAGACAGCTTCAACAGTGAATGAAAGGCACTGCAAAGCCCTCTTTAAGTGTAACATTCACGATAAAACTCTGCAGTGGGTACAAAGTCCCACGGCTGCACACGGGGCTGCTGTGTTGTGTATCCCTGAGCCACACGAATGTGAACGTGTAGTTACCTATATGGAATTTATTAAGCTTCCTTTAAACAATGTGATGTGGCCAAAGCCTAGAGTTAGCTTTTTATTTCCACAACAAACAAGTCAAGGGTTTGGTGATAGTGGTGGGTGTGTGTGTGGTAATGTGTATTGGGAGGGTGGAGTGGGGGGAGGAGAGGGGGGAGGGACAGCATCCCTAAGTTGGAACAGAGCCTATCAGAGTTCTATTCCCCTTATAACCTGTCCTAATAGCAGCCCAACTTGCCAGAAACCTTGATTTTTTTTTGGGGGGGGGGTCACAAAAACAAACCAAAACCACAACAATCTAGTATCAGGGAGTGGTGTTCTTCTTGGTATTTTTTTGTGGGTTTTTTTTTGTTGTTGTTGTTTTGCTTCCTAGTCCTGATTCCAAGGGAAGAATGCCACCTATCGAATCAACCACACCAGCAGGCAATTCTGCAAAGTGCAAACTACTCAACTTAACCCTGGTCCCTGGTAGGTTCTCCTCTGATTATTCTTTGGTCTTAAAAAAAAAAAAAAAAAAGGAAAGAAAGAAAAAGGGTCAGTATCTGGGCTGACAGGAAGTTAGGCGCAGATAGCTGATAAACACTTCCACATATTGTGGCCTTCTCAATAGCTAAGCCAAATTTCAGCCTCCTCTCTGCCTGCATTTTCCTTTTAATAGTGCTTTCTCCTTCAGAATGCCCGCGGTCCCTGCAGCCTGCAGACAGCTGAAGCCGCCGGTGCAAACCTGCAGGGGGGCTGCTCGCTGACCGGAGGGAGCCAAAGCCGCAGCCAGGGCTGCCCTGACACGCTTAGCCAGCGTTCGAGATTGCCGAGGTCGGGCAATGCCACGGGGCTTCCAAATTTGTCCAACCGCGGCACTCGGCAACGTCCAACTCCCTCCCCAGGCCGCCGGCGAGGAGTGGGGGTGCGGGTTCCCCTCCGCAATCCTCCCAAAGCTAGGCAGGAAATCGCTGCAAGTCCTGGGCTCAGGCTCAGGTCGCCGCTGCTCCTCCGATGCACCGCGGTGCAGCGGAGGCTGGAGAAGGGTTGCGGCCGGGAGCCGGCGGGCTGGCGCGGGTTGCAGCGCGGGAGGCCCGGGTGCAAGACACTAGGCTCTGAGCGTCTTTGAACACGCCTCGCTCGGGGGCGCGGACGGAGGTCAGCGGCTCTCTGCGCGCTGGGCGCAATGTACCAGAAACCCTACGGCCGCGTGCGCGGGGGGCCCGGGGACAGTGCGGAGGCTGGAGGAGGGCGGAGGGGGCGGGACCCCCGCGGGTGCGGGGCGGAGGGGCGGGCCGAGGCTGGGCGGGCGGAGGCTGGGCGGCGCGGCGCTGGCGGCCGCTGGGATCGCCCACAGCCCGCGGCCTGAACGCCACGGGTCCCCCGGGGCCCCTGCTAGGCTCGCGAGTCCTCGGGTCTCCTCCTCCTGCGGCCGCCGCGCAGCGGACATGAGCGCGTAGCCCCCCCCCCCCCATACCCCGCAACCCCATCCTGGACTGGGATTTGCTCGCAGATTTTCTTCATGGAAGCAATGTCCCCCCAGCAAGACGCTCTAGCCGGGCAGCCGGGGCGCTCGTCTTCCCTGACTGGCATGTCTCGGATCGCGGGAGGCCCCGGCACCAAGAAGGTGAGCACGCCGAGCGGGGCCTCGCGTTCGCGACTCCCTGAGCACGCGAGCCCGGGGTTAACCGTCCCCGCTGGGGGCGTCGCCCCTCCATCCTTCTCGGGGCTACCTCCCGGAGCCCAGGGCTGTGGTATCTGGTGGGAACCGGTGTCGGCGCAGCCCAGCAGCCTCACTCCTCCCTCGGGTCCCTCCCCAGACCAGAGCGCGGACCTGGATGAGGGGTCCACCCCGGAGGTGGCCTTAATGGGGGTCCCCTGGGGTGGCCTTGACCGGGTCCTCTGGAGGTGGCATTGACGGGGTCATCCTGAAAGCGGCGGGTCCTGAGGACGCGGAGGAAGGGGGGCAGCCGGAGCTGACCGCCCGCCGCGCCCTCACCTGGCCGCGGAGGCAGGATGCTCCCGGTGCACCCGGGAAAGGGATGCTTGCGCGCTCCGCAGCAGCCCCAGGCCTCCTCCGGGATTCAGAGGTAGCTGCGATGCGGCGGGGCCACACCACCGGACCTGGAGGCGTAGCTTGGCCTAGATAGGGCTGGGTGGTGGGCGGTGGGCAGTTCCGGGAGGGCTCTGCTGGATGGGGCGGGGTGCAGAGCGGATCCCCAGGTCCCTGAGACTCCGGCAGGGCCCGAGGACCCTGTGTGAGCCTGTGGGGACGGCGCCCTTGCTCACTGTCAAAGCTGAGAGGACAGATAAGCAACTACTTGTAGCTTTTGCTGATGATCCACGCGGCCTGTGGTGCAGCGGGAGGATTTGCTGGAGGTCAGGTGTCTTTGGAACAGTTCCTGGAGCAAGTGCACGTGGGCCGCTAGCTGCCAGGCTCCTGCGCTTAGTCTGTCTTAGGAATTGATTTGGGTGTTTCTGTAGCCATGACTGCTTCCCCCCTTCCTCCAGCACAAAACCCTCGAGATTTTGGCCATTTTTGTTCCTTATTGTGTTTTTTCCGGAGACAAGTTGTGGGAAGAGGAATCATTCTAGCGCTTAAGGGATGTCTTTAAGGAGGTACGTGACTATAATTGGAGACAAGGGGTTGCACGGACTCCCTACTTGTCCAGATTTTATGGCCTTCCATAAATCTTCCCACCAGGATAGTGTGTTGGCTAGAGGTCAGTTGAAGAGCCATGACATCTGTATAGAAATGTATGTGAGCTCCCTAGGACCTTGACTATGTCGCAGAGCCAGCCATGGGTGTATATGAACTTGATGTATGGGCTGTGGTAGCGGCTCAGCCTTTGATGTATGGAGGCTGCAGTTTGTCCTTGTGATTTTTTTCTTTCTACCTTCAGAGATGGAGTGTGTATGTATGTAATCAGTCTTCCCAAATAAAACGTGAAGTCACCAGGATATCTGTCCCAATTTAGGATGGCCAATGAACATTAATAGATTTAAGGCATTTTCTATTTTTGTAAATCTAAAGAACTGGAAAGAATCAAGGATTTATTTTCTTAAAGAGTGTGGCCCCTCCCCCGAGGATAATTAAGCATGCTAGTGAAAGGAGGGACCATTAAAGAGAGGTTTCATCATTTGTCAAGTAGCACTTGTCCTTAAGGGTTACTTTGCCCTTTCTCCTCAGTTGTTTGTACTCAGCATAACCACTGTCTCTAAGATGGTGCCCTTCACTGGAAAACATAATGGGCTGGTACATTACTAAATCAGTATCTACTTTTCCAAGGTTGCTGAGAAAATTAAATGTAAGATTGAATGAATAATGGCATATCGTACCCAGGCTGATTCCGGCGGTTATTGTAAATTGTTTTGCATCTCTAGTTCGAAACACTGTGTCCCAAGTTGTTGAAACTCAAAAATCTAGGAATTCTTTTCAGTGCCTTTCCTCATCCTCCAACAGCCAATCCACAGCATCCAGATTTCCCTACCACCATGACGGCCACTGCAGTAAAGCCATCTCTACCGTGTGCCTTTACAGAGACTCCTTGCCTGAACCCTTTCTTGCCCTTCTGTGACCCATTCTGCATTTTGCAGCACCAGAATGATGTTTTTAAAACTATGGACTGATCATGTTGCTTATCTGTTCACAGTTCTGAAGGGGCTTTTGTCGTATCTATAATAAAACCCAGGTCCTTTTTCTTGATCTTGTCTACTTCCATTTATCTACCTCCACCCCCACCCGTGTGTGTGTGTGTGTGTGTGTGTGTGTGTTCAGGCACATGGGTCTTTCATACTTTAAGTCATCGACTTTATTTCTGTTTTAAAGCCTATTATTCCCCTTGTATGTTGGTTTCTTTTCATGTTGTTCGGATCTGGGATCTTCCCTGAGATCTTTACTCACTGTGGAAACAGCAGTGAGCTCTCCATCACACTCCTACCTTCTGCTTTATTGTCATCTCAGCATTATTCTCTGCATCATTATCTATCATTATCTTCTTATTTACTTGTTTGCCTGTTTCATACATCCCTCACCGGATTTGTGAAAACTACCACGATCTTGCTCCCAGCTCCACTAGTGTCTGCTATATAGTGTTTCATAAGCATTAGTTAGCTGATGTAGAGCAAAAACAGGACAAGAATGATCCCTCTCCTCAGTTTATCCTTAGAGAAGGCTCACCAAACCTTTTCTTAAAGAAAAAAATAGTAAATATCTTAGGTTTGAAAGCTGTATAGTCTATATTTCAGGTTCCCATCATAGCACCAAAGCAACATAGATAGTACATAAGTGAATGTGCTTAACTGTGTTCCTGTAAAACTTTATTTATGAAAACAAGTGTATAGAACAGCTGAACTGAAGATGTTAACAGCTCGTTGAGGTTTAATTGATAACACCTGCACATATTTAACGTTTATAACTCTAAAGATTTGATGTAAGAGTACACCTCCAAAGCCTCCAGATTTCCAAGAAATCACTTGTCTGCTTTATGTTACTGTAGATTAAATTTGCATTTTCAACTTTTATAAATGAAATCAAATTTTATATATTTTTTGCCTTTCATTATAGCTTTTATAACTATCCATGTTTACATGGGCTAGTGCCTTTTGTTGTTGAGCAGGAAAGGTTGGATCTCCTTTATCCAAATTACCTGGAACCAGAAGAGTTTCAGATTTCATATTTTGGGATTGTGAATATTTGCATATCCACAATGAGATATCTTCTGATGGTACTCAAGTCTAAGCATGAAGCTCATTTATGTTTGTATGCACCTTGTACATACAACCTGGAGGAAATTTTGTTCATTGTTTTCAGTGCACCTGTATTTGACCTCACCCTGTCACCTGAGGTATGGTGTGGAATGTTCCACTTGTGTCCCAAGAGCAACACTCAGAAAATTTCAGAGTCTGAAGCATTTTAGATTTCAGGGTTTTGGATGAGGGAGGGTCAACCTGTAGAACACAATTCATTTTTCCATTGACTTGCTAATGAGTATTTGGGTTGATTCCAATTCTTGGCTATTACCAGTAAAGCTCCTGTTTATAAACTTCATACACAAATCTGCATGGGCCTATGCTTTCTTTTGAGTACTTAGGCATTGAATGAGTGGATCATCATATTTAGGTATATATTTGACTTTTAAAGAATTACTCAGTTGGGTGTTTTCCTGAAGTGATTTTACATTTCTAATAGTGGTATATACAAATTCTGTTTCTCCATATCCTCACCAACACTTGTTATTATCTCTTTTTGGTTACATCATAGTAGGTATAAAATTGAACCTAATGATACAAGTTTGTATTTCCTCAATGACTAGTGACTTTGAATATCTTTCCACCTACATATCTTTGATAAATTATCTACTTAAATATCTTGCAAATTTTCATCTGGTTGTTGGCTTTTTTATTACTAAGTTTTTAAGGTAGTTTATACAGTCTGTATTCAAATCCTTTATCAGGCATGTGATTTGAAAAATGTCTTCCCCCAGTCTGTAATTTGCATTTTTATTTCCTTAGCATTGTCTTTAAATGAACAGAAGTTTTTAATTTGATGAAATCTAACTTGATTTTTTTCTTTAATTTTACTTAATTTGAATGTAAATGTATATAGTCGTCTATATTCAATGGTTACAATATTGAACAGTACAAGTCTAAAGGAAGAGACAAAAACAATAGCAAAAATGGACTAAATAGAGCTGTCATTAAAGAAACAAACATGATCCTGGTTTGAACAAACAGGAATTAAGCTGGATGCTCCACATCAGGCTGTTTAAAGGAAGCACACATCCCCCTTTTAAATTTTCTTTTCCAAGACAGGCTCTCCCTGTAGCCCCAGCTGGGCTGGAACTCAGTATGTAGACCAGGCTGGTTTTGATCTCACAGAGATCTGCCTGCCTCTGCCTTTACTCCTAGTATTTGGGAAGCAGGGGGAGGTAGATCTCTGAGATCAGGCCAGCCTGGTCTATACACTGAGTTCCAGGCCACCTGGGGCTACAGAGAGACCCTGTCTCAAAAAAAAAAAAAAAAAAAAAAAAACAAAAGCATACAGTAAATTTGTGTAGCAATTCCTAGAATTGGGGCTCTAAAATGTAGTGACTTTTAGCCGGGCATGGTGGTGCATGCCTTTAATCCCAGCACTTGGGAGGCAGAGGCAGGCGGATCCTTGTGAGTTCGAGGCCAGCCTGGTCTACATAGTGAGTTCCAGGCCAGCTGGGTCTACAGGGAGACCCTGTCTCAAAAAGACCAAAAAAATGTAGTGATTTTAAACTCTACTGAAAACATGAATTCTTGAGCAGATTCATTTTTGCATTGAATAGTTCTAGTGAAATGAAAGCCCATGTTAACATCATTTCAAATTTAGCAATGACTTGTGTCAGACACAAATACACTGACCCTTTGACATCACTATAATAATTAAAAACCATTCAACTGAGTGAGTATCAGGGTAAGAAAGGTAAATTTATAGGCCTAGGAAACCAATAAAAGGAAAATAATTTTAAAATAGCTCTAGCATTTCATACTGTAGCAGCTGCTATTATCAGTTCCACTCTGTCTCTTTATGCATTCTCTGGAGCAGATCTGGTTAGAGCACTTCATGGTGGGCCACCCATAAGAACTGACTTTAGCCAA